ACAATATTCTGTCTGCATGTATGCCTGTAGGCCAGAAGAGGGCACCAGACCTCATTACAGATGGTTGTGAGCCACCATGTGGTTGCTGGGAATTGAACTCAGGACTTTAGAAGAGCAGGCAATGCTCTCTTAACCACTGAGCCATCTCTCCAGCCCAAAGAAATATTTTTTTTAAAAAGAAACCTAAAGAGAAAGTTTTAAAACCTACAAAAACAATATAGATCAAATAGAAGATCGTATCAACTTTAGAAGACAAACATGAATGAGAACACTTAGACACTCAAGAAGAGAAAACAAAAAAGGATGAACAGAGCTTGTAAGATCAACTCCAACCAAAATAGATTACATTCATGAAGCATGAGGATATAGGAAAACATCAAACCATGGCGAAAGTAACATACTCAGTAAAACTGTAGCAGGAAATTACCTAAAATAGGGAGAGATTAGTTTTCTGACTCAGGAAATGTTTAGGATACAAACTGAAAAGATGGGAGAGCACCTACATATACCATATTACATATAAAACATTAGCACGGAGAATAAAAAATAACAATGGGAAAAGTTCCATGAAAAAAAAAACCACATGTGTACCTTGACATGCTTATCCATGCAGACACACATACTATAAATGAACACACATATACATATGGTAATTCTGAAATATTTTTCAAAAAGACAATTGCAAGAAAATGTTCATAAAAACATCTATAAAAATTGTAAGATACATGAAAACGTAATTCAGCAACACATAAAAACCATCATTCACAATCAGGTTAGCATTATCCCAGGAATTTATAGTCAATATACACAAATAAAATGCATTATATCACATACATTTATATAAATATAGAAATCATAAGATCACACCAACAGCAGAGGTTTTTACTTTTTCCCATTGAAATATTTTATCAAAATACAGCACCCATGATTAAAGTCCTGAAAAAAGTAAAAATAGAAAGAACATCCCTCATATAATAAAAGCAACATAGAACAATTAGCAAACATTATAGCAAATAACAAAAAAAGTCAAAGAATTTTCATTAAAGGAAAAGACAAGGGTGTCCATTTTCTCCAGTATTAATTCAACAAAGTGTTAAGATATCTTGTGTAGACCACTAATAAAAAAAGTGAATATAATAAGGAAAATCCAGTATATCCTGAATGCGCACAATATCAGATAAGAAACCCTAAAGGCTGCAACGGAAAAGTTAAAAGTGCTTTAGTAAAACATTCAACAAAATCCTAGAATACAGACTCAAAAGCATGGCCAGGGAAATGGCTCAATGGGTAAAAGTACTTGCTGTGCAAACCAGATATTGGAATTTCAAATTTTATGTTAAGATGTTTGGTACATTTAGAATTAATTATTTTATGCAAAGTGAGAAGTTCTAATTTTATTGATTCTAAATGTGAATATCCATTTTGGTAGCATCCAGTTTTTAGTAACTACCAACTGTATTATAAATAGTATAATAAAGCTGCAAAGGGGCTACAGAATGCAGAGCGACCTGCAGAAATGAGAAATAAGACATCTTGTGCTACTATTTGTTTTGTCTAGTTGGAATATTTTTATCCTTTAAGTGAAAACAGGAATCATTTGATTAGAAACAAATGAAATGCAAATGAAGCTTGATTGCTGAGTAAATCATCTATACACTATTTCATTAACCTTTATTTTGATTTTTTTCTTGTTTGACAGTAGTGGGTATCAAAGCCAAGGTCATTCACATTGGAGAAATGTTCAGAAACTGATTTTCAACAGTAGCTTTATTTCCATCACACAAATATTTGTCCAGTGTTTACTCACCACACCTCAATTTTCTCACCAAAATTGTCAACACTGGCACAATTAGTCTTCTTGTAACAATATAGACAGAGCAAAGAATCCCTCAACTTTGCATGCTAATTCTGAGTGCTGGCATGTGAAGGATACTTGAAAACTACCATCTAATATCTATATTATATATGTGTGTGTGTGTGCACATACCTATATACATATAGAAAACATTTTATTTTACATTATGTGTATCTACGTATGCACAATTAAATGTAGATACCCAAAGAGGTAAGAAGAAGGTGCAATATGCTGGAGTTACATGAAGTTGTGAGTGGACTGATATAGTTGGGAACTCATCTCTGGCCTTCTGCTAAGCCATTTCCCCAGGCCACATCATGCATATTTTCTGAGAAACATAAGCTGGTGCGGGAGAATTGTCTGTATTCTGGCATTCATGTTTTAAATAAATGCTGATTGGCCAGGAGCCAGGCAGGAAGTATAGGCGGGACAACCAGACAGGAAGTAGAGGTGGGGCAATAAGAACAGGAGAATTCTGGGAAGAAGGAAGCTCTCCCCAGTCCTGCCCAGACCATGGAAGAAGCAAGATGTGACCTGCCACACTGAAAAAGGTACTGAACCGTGTGGCTAACATAGATAAGAACAATGGGTTAATATAAGTTATAACAGCTAAAACAAAGCCTGAGATAATGGGCCAATCAGTTTATAATCTTATGGAGACCTTTGTGTGATTTTCTTTGGGGCTGAATGGCTGCGGGAACTGGGCAGGACGGAAACCCCGACAAACAGGCACTCATGTTACAATAAGCTTTTTTTTTTTTTTTACAAGATAAGTTATTTTTATTATTATTGATTTTTATTGAGCTCTACATTTTCCTCTGCTCCCATCCCTGACTCTTCCTTCCCCTTCAGTCTTCTCCCAAGGTCCCCGTGCTCCCAATTTACACAGCAGATCTTGTCTTTTTTTTATTTCCCATGTAGATTAGATCTATGTATGTCTCTCTTAGGGTCCTCATTGTTGTCTATGTTCTCTGGGATTGTGATTTGTGGGCTGATTTTCTTTACTTTATATTTAAAAACCACTTATGAGTGAATACATGTGATAATTGTCTGTGTCTGGGTAACCTCACTCAAAATGATGCTTTTTTTATAATTTTTTAATATTTATTATGTATGCAATATTCTATCTGTGTGTATGCCTACAGGCCAGAAGAGGGCACCAGAACCCATTACAGATGGTTGTGAGCCACCATGTGGTTGCTGGGAATTGAACTCAGGACTTTTGGAAGAACAGGCAATGCTCTTAACCTCTGAGCCATCTCTCCAGCCCCAAAATGTTTTCTAGCTCCATCAATTTAGCTGCAAAATTCAAGATGGCATTATTTTTTTCTGCTGTGTAGTACTCCATTGTTTAAATGTACCACACTTTCTTTATCCATTCTTCAGTCGAGGGACATTTAGGTTTTTTCCAGGTTCTGGCTATGACAAACAATGCTGCTATGAACATAATTGAACATATGTCCTTGTGGCACGATCGAGCATCCTTTGGATATATACCTAAAAGTGGTATTATTGGGTCTTGAGGAAGTTTGTTTCCTTATTTTCTGAGAAATTGCCACACTGACATTCAAAGGGGCTGTACCAGCTTATATTCCCACCAGCAATACAGGAGTGTTCCCTTTACCCTACAACCTCTCCAGCATAAGTTGTTATCAGTGTTTTTTATCTTGGCCAGAAAAACAATGGTGCTAGTTCTATGTTCTACATGCTATTTCTTTTATTTCTAGAAGGCTATGTCCATCACAAGCCTTATACTGAGAAAACGTAAACATACTTGCCATTAACAGACATTTAAGAGGCAAGAGATTATAACTGACATAAAACATAATAGACTAACCAATATGTTTATATAATTTATTTATAGATATGTCTCATGAATACATTACCAACCTTAGATTTACTTCACCTCAGTGCAAATAGTTTCTTTATACATTTTCTGTTGTTGCTCTTTCAAAGAGTGTCTTATTGGTCTTCAAAAGAGGGTTCAAGCTATTCTGCTTCAGCATTCTATGGAGTGCAAGGACCACAAGCAAAAACAGGCATAAGTTACTTGCCAACCATATTTTCAAAAGTAAAATGATGATGAAAAATCAAGATTTGAGAATAGACCAATGATTAAAAATACACCTACAATATTATTAGACTGACTTGTTTTATTCCAAGCCCAAAAACGTGAGCCTATTTCTACCTCATGTGATGGTCACAGAGTTCGGAGGTTGCTAAAAATTGTTGACAAGAACCAGAGCTACACATACTGGCTCAGGATGTGGTTACTTGGTACTTTTGACACTAAGATGATCCATACAGGTATATCCACTTCACCCTGACAGATGGTCAGGATATGCAAGCATACTTGCCTTCAGGATACTTGGTCTTGGTCTAGGGTGGCTTCTGCCTAAAAACAGAATGCTTTGATGTCTTAGTGTTAAAGAACTCTTTTGTTGCCTTCTTCCCCCTTTCATGTTGGGGTATAAAACATAGGTGATTTCAGTATTCACTGGAACTCCCTTCCGATACTATCCTTTGTTTTATTACCTGTATTAGCATCTTCATATTCTTTACTCATTTTTCTGATCCCCATGTCCCTATCCTGGCAAGTGGTACTTTTGTCGAGGTTGGTCCCTGACATTCAACTTCTGGCACTTCCTCCTTAAATGCAGCAATATTATATTTAAAATCACTTTGCCTGGGTTTGGAGAGATGGCTCAGCAGCTAAAAGCCCTGGCTGCTCTTACAGAGGACTGGGGTAAGGATTCCCTGCACCTATGACAGCTTACAACCATCTGCAACTTCAGTTCCAGCATGCTCTTCAGCACTTCACTGGCACTGCACAAACATGGTGCAGGCAATAAGCCCATACATAAAAATTAATACTTTGTTCATTCAGGTTCAGAATGTTTGTTCAGTTGATAAATAAGATGGATCCCAGGATAGGGCACTGAGTAATCTGTCCCAAACAGCACTAAACTACACAATGGGCTTAGGGAAGTGTAAGCACAACAGATGTTTACCGACACATGGGTGGGCTAAGACAGTCAACTTTTCACATGAGAAATTTATTGTGGCTTACGTTTTCCAAATGTTTATTACTAATTCCATGTAATAAGAAAAAAACTATACAAAAATTATATAAAGACACAGGCAATATCATGAGTTAGACTTTTTAATAGGTTTTCTGATGAATTGCTTTGGTATACATATGTTCTCTGTGTTATGACACAATGACATAAGTTTGGCAAAACAGAACATACTTATGTAAATTATCAAGTTTTTTTAAAAAACGCACTCAGAACTTACTGTATCTCTTTTATATGGTTTAAGAAATATTCAACACAAATTAATCTTCGATATCTTCACATTACTTTCATAAAACTCAACCATATGAGAAATTTTTCATAAATTTTCTTATTGGTAAAAACACAACTTTCTTATATTTACAATTTCATTTAATTGTAATTGGTTCTTAAGCCTCTCAAGCTGTGTTCAAACCCAGTAAATAGCACAGGCTTCATTTAATACTGTAATTGTCTAGCCTCTACTTTCTCATTGCTCAAATGAAAGGCACAGATCAGCATGCCTGGTGTACAGGGTCTCATCTCACAGAAACCTGTCTACAAGGACCAAAATTATACTTCTGCAGCTCTTATAGTCTAGTATCTCTCCACTTTCTTTTTTCATACATCAAAATAAAAGTTCATGCCAGACAGTCCCATGCTTCACATTAGTAGAAATATTATCCACTGAGTTTTTCACTGTGAGTTCTTTCGTGTCTGAGGAGGTACGTGGAACAGGTAAATGCTTTCCCACACTGCTTACATATATACGGCTTTTCTCCAGTGTGATTTTTTTCATGTATTAGAAGGGATTTAGAAAAAGTGAATGTTTTCCCACATTGAACACACATGTATGGTTTCTCTCCAGTGTGAGTTCGTTCGTGACTATAACAATCATCACGTTGGATGAAGGCTTTCCCACATTGCTTACATACATAAGGTTTTTCTCCAGTGTGAATTCGTTCATGTCTTCTCAAAGAAGTTCCCTGAGTGAAAGATTTCCCACACTGCTTACATACATAGGGTTTTTCTCCACTGTGAGATCTTTCATGTATGTGTAAGGATCTGGGGAAACTGAATAGTTTCCCACACTGCACACACATATATGGTTTCTCTCCAGTGTGGATTCTTTCATGCTTGTGACAGCCAGTGGCATAAGCAAAGGCTTTTCCACAATGCTTACATACATAGGGTTTTTCTCCACTGTGAGATCTTTCATGAATGTGAAGGTATGCAGAACACTTAAAAGCTTTTCCACATTGCTTACAAACACAGGGCTTCTCTCCAGTGTGAATTCTTTCATGATAATAACAAGCACTGGAGTAGGTGAAAGCCTTTCCACAATGTTTACACACAAAAGGTCTCTCCCCAGTATGAATTCTTTCGTGAATGAGAAGTTGGCAGGAACGAAGAAATGCTTTCCCACACTGTTTACAAGCATAGGGTTTCACTCCAGTGTGAGTTCTTTCATGATTGTAACAGGTTCTTCGATCAATGAATGCTTTTCCACAATGCGTACAAACATAAGGTTTCTCACCAGTGTGGATTCTTTCATGTTTGTGAAGTTGTGAGGGACGGCTAAATGCTTTTCCACATTGCTTACACGTGTGACGTTTCTCTTGAATATGACTTTTTTCATGCCAGAGAAGGCTACAGGAATCACTCCATGCTTTCCCACACTGTTTACAAACATATGATTTCTCTTCGATACCATTTCCTTCATAATCGTGATCAGAAGTGAAACTCCTACAGGCTTCATTAGATTGTTTGCTTTCATAAGGTTTCTGTCTCATAGGAGGACTTTTATGCATCTGAAGTAACTCAGAATAAGTGAAATCCTTCCAACATTTCTTAAATTTAAAAGCCTTCTCCATATGCTCCTGATACTGGTATGGTTTCTCTACAGTTTGACCTTTGGCATGTGCGTCTGAGGGAAAATGAGCACTGAACTCTTTTTCACAGTCAGTTATTGCAGGAGGCATTTTCTCATTCACAACACACTCTGGGCTCTGTCGGTGGGTTTCTCCATTCTGACTACCGTGATCATATTTACTGAGCCTCTCAACCACCAGGGTTCTGAAAAAAATAGAGAGTAATATTAATTATTCTAAGAGGTCGTGGCAACTGGACTACACAAAAAGAACCTTTCCCAAAGAAAGAAATAAGAGTATTGACTCAATTTCCTAAGAATGTATAAACTTTGGGGAGGTGGTGTGGGATGTCCTTCTGTCTATGTGTTGCTCTTATTGGTTAATGAATAAAGAAACTGTCTTGGCCTGTAACAGAGCAAAAGAACAGAGCTAGGTGGGGAAAACTAAAGTGAATGCTGGGAGAGGCAGGGTCAGAGAGATGCCATGTAGTCCCACCAGAGACAAATGCCAAAACTTTAGCCAGTAAACCACAGCCACGTGGCAATACACAGATTAATAGAAATGGGTTAAATTAAGATATATAAGAGTTAGCCAATAAAAAGTCAGAGCTAATGGGCCAAGCAGTGATTTAATTGATATGGTTTCTGTGTGATTATTTAGGGCCTAAGCTAGCCAGTTGGCCGGGAACCAATAAGTGGCCTCCTCCCCCTACAGGGAGATGAGATGGCTCAGTAGGTAAAGGCATCTACTGGCAAGTCTGAAGACCTGAGTTTGAACCCTAAGATCTGCAAAGAGGGAAGGAGCCCATCCCTGAGGGTTATCCTCTAACCTCCACAACTGTACCACTTCAAGCATGCATGCACTAATGCACACAAACACAAATAAATACACATTTTAAAAAAGAGAATCATTATGAATATTAAAGGGTTAAACATTTAACTAGAGGTCCTGAGGACGGCAATACAATCAAATAAGGTTCTGTAATCTTCCAGATATTATACAAACATTAATCGTATATGACACTAAGCCAGTTAGCAGTTGAACATTCATAAGGCAAAATGGTTTTTATTATAGCATTTGAAATAGTTGTTCACATGATTTAATAAAAATGGGTCTCTATCTGAAACTCAAAATTCACTTTACCTCACACACTCCTTATATTAAAGCCTAAGTATAATTTAATTGATATTCTGAAATTCTGTGCATAAAGAAAAGTTATATAACAAATCACAGGAAAATGTCATATAACTCTATGCATCTTTCAATATTCTAAGTGCTCAAGCTCACTGTATTTACAAAGGTCCTCAGATTTTCTGTCACCACCAGATACTTAATGCATATCTTTCTGTGATGGTAAGTTACCTCAGGTTTCCCTTATACTTCTGGTACTCCTCTTCAATATCTTCTTCTTCTGTTTTCCCTAAAAGTACACCCAAAAAAATTATGCAAAGATTTATTCAAAATAACACTTTTCTGCTATAATATGACCAAGCACATGACACTGAACAACACTGTTCTTTCACTTCTTAAAATCATGCAACTACACAGATGAACAAGAAACAACTGTGATGATCAAAGTAAAGGAATCTGAGTGTGTGGTTTTTTTTTTTTTTTTTTTTTTTTTTTCCTATTAGCGAGCAGGTTCATAAAGGTTTCCTTCATCACATCTCTGTAGAGCTTCTGTTGACTAGAATCCAACATAGTCCACTCTCCTAGAGTGAAGTTCACAGCCACATCCTCAAAGGTCACTGGCTCCTACAATAATCCACATACATTTACAGGAAGAATAGTGGAAAAGCACAGGTGATACATAGTTAGTTACACAACTAGCTTACTTCATGTTTTATTCCTCAAAAGTCACTGTGTATCTGGCTGCCCCCATTCATTCCTACCTTCTAACCTTTTACTTTTCCCATTCCACTTTCAGGTGTGTTTTCTACGAGCAGAATACAATATATACTAATTACCCCTCTTCACTCTGGCTTAGTTATAATGCTGGTGGCTAGTGTTCAAAATATTTTACTGAAAATGACAAGATCCATTTCTTTTAAGATGTATTTATGTGTGTGTTTACAGGTTAGTATGCCATGCAACTACAGATGGCATTAGGACACACACCCCTCCCCTGAAGCTAGAATTTATGAGCTCCGGGGCACATATGCTGGAAATCAAATGGTCTAGAAGAATGGTTAGCTCTCATAGCCATCAGGTCATCTCCCCAGTCCCTAGTACAATACAATTTACCATAGAGTTTACATGTGTGCATGTGTACACAGACATACACATAAAATCACACACTAACACAAACAATTTAATAAACATACTGATCAAAATTTATCAGCTTATTCACTGATATTTTGTAATGATATTTTGTTTGTAGTCTAACCAATCAAGCTTGCCTGAAGATCAGAGTGCTGAGCTAAGCCATTAGTTAGCCATAGAGGCAGTGGTGGCACACAGCTTTAATCCCAGCACTCGCTGATTCTCAATGTAGTTCTAGGATTTGCACAATGATTAAAGATCTTAAATAGACTGTCATGTCATGCCTTTGCTGGTCACTTGAACTTCAAGATACAATGATTTAATTTGCCTGTTTATATAGATTTCAACTTTATGCTTCCTCTGCTGAGTTCTTTATATATTCTAGGTATTACTCCCTCTCAGATGTCACCTAGTAGAATACTTCCCATTCTACAAATTGTCCCTTCATTCATTTCCATTGCCAGGCAGAAGTTTTTTCCATTTGATGAAATCCAATTAGTGACTCCACGCTTCTGAGTCCTATTCTGACAACCACCCTGCACCTCCGTCTGTTGTATTTGCTCTCATCTTTAGAGTCCAGATGATACACACTGAGTTAATTATTGCATGAGTGAAGGTACGGGTAAAGTCCACTATTCTTTTAATGAGTAACCAGCTTTTCTACTTTTATAGCATTAAAAACCAAAATCTTATCTTCAATACTTTTGTTTCTTTACATCTTTTTTTGGGGTAATTGAACTGCTAGGGCCATCTGCTTTGTGGTTCTATTTACTTGGAATTTCATCCTTTCTCTTTTACTCCTTGTAAGTTTCAGGAAATTAACATTTTTGTGAAAAAAGAATATAAAATTTAAAGTCAATTAAATAGAATATAACAACTTATAAAATACGCTTGGATAAGCAGAATAAAGACTATGTGGAGCTTGCAATCATCAAAATATAATCAAATATCAATAGACAAACCAAAAAATTAGCATCACCACAACAACCATGATCTTTGAGACAGGATTATGAATCAAAACCTAAGTTTTTCATAATGTTTTTATTGATTATTTGGAAATTTCACATCATGAACACCAAGCACCTTCACTTTCTGCTGCTCCCAGGGCTGCCCCACAACCCTTGGAACCCCTCCAAAATAAAAAGTGGAAGAAAGTTTTTTTTTTTTTTTTTTTTAGTTTTTCGAGACAGGGTTTCTCTGTGGCTTTGGAGCCTGTCCTGGAACTAGCTCTGTAGACCAGGCTGGTCTCGAAATCACAGAGATCCGCCTGCCTCTGCCTCCCGAGTGCTGGGATTAAAGGCGTGCGCCACCATCGCCCTGGTGGAAGAAAGTTTTTAAAAGAAAAAGAAAAGTTCAATTTATATTGCCCATATACTCACTGGAGTAGGGTCGAATTCCCTGTGGCCAGCCTTTTTATACATTAACTACATTAGTTATAAAATGATTGGCCTAGTAGCTCAGACTTCTTATTAACTCTTACAACTTATGTTAGCCCATTATTCTTGTCTGTGTTAGCCACATGGCTTGGTACCTTATTCAGTGAGGCAGTTACATCTTGCTTCATCTGTGATTGGGTTATGACTGCAGAAAAAGCTTTCCTCTCCCAGAATTCTCTTATTCTCATTACACTGCCTCTACTTCTTGCCTGGTTGTCCCGCCTATATTTTCTGCCTGGTTACTGGCCACTCAGCATTTATTAAAATACAATTAAGGCCTGGATGGAGGTGGGTGGTCCTTGGACTTCCCACAGGGCAGGGAAACTTGATTGCTCTTTGGGCTAACGAGGGAGGGGGACCTGATTGGGGGAAGGGGAGGGAAGTGGGAGGCAGTGGTGGGGAAAAATCAGAAATCTTTAATAAATAAAAATTAAAAACAAACAAACAAACAAACAAATACAATTAACAGGGTACAGACCATTGTTCCACAGCACTTCCCCCCTTTTTTTGTGTATGAGGTCCTTCTTTGTGTTGCTTTCACTGGTTAATAAACTGCTTTGGGCCTGTTGATAGGGCAGAACTTTGGTAGGCAGGGAAGACAGAACCGAATACTGGGAGAAAGAAGGGAGGAGTCAGAGAGATGCTATGGAGCCGCTGCCAGAGTCAGACATGCTCGACCTTTGCCAGTGAACCACTGCCACGTGGCAATATACAGATTAATAGAAATGGGTTAAATCAAGATCTGAGAGTTAGCCAATAAGAGGCTAGAGCTAATGGGCCAAGCAATGATTTAATTAATACAGTTTCTGTGTGGTTATTTCAGGGCTAAGCTAGCTGGGTGGCTGGGACGAACAAGTGGTCCCCTCGTTTCTACAGGGCAATTCTAACCAAACAAGTGAAAGACCTGTACAACAAGAAATTTAAGTCTTTGAAGAAAAAAAACTGAAGATATCATAAAATGAAAAGATCTCCCAGTCTCTTGGATAGGTAGGATCAACATAGTGAAAATGGCAATCCTACCAAAAGTAATCTACAGATTCAATACAATCCCCATCAAAATCCCAGCACAATTCTTCACAGACCTCTAAACAACAATATTCAACTTCATATGGAAAAACAAAAAACCCAGGATAGCCAAAACAATCCTGTACAATAAAGGAACTTATAGAGGTATCATCATCCCTGACATCAAGCTCTATTATATAGAGAGCTACATTAATGAAAACAGCTTGGCACTGACATAAAAATAGATAAGTAGACCAATGGAATTGAATCAAAGACCCTGATATTAATCAATTTATTAATTAAACTAATAATCAATCAATTAATTAAATTAATTAATTAACGAACGCCTGATTTTTGATGAAGAAGCTAAAATTACAGAATGGAAAAAGGAAAGCATCTTCAACAAATGGTGCTGCATAACTGGATGGTGACATGTAGAAGAATGCAAATAGACTCATATCTATTCCCATGCACAAAACTCAAGTCTAGATGAATCAAAGATCTCAACATAAATCCAACCACACTGATCCTCAGAGAAGAGAAAGTGGGAAGTAGCCTTGAATGCACAGGAGACCACTTTCTAAATATACCACCAGTAGCACAGACACTGAGATCTACAATTAATAAAGGAGACCTCCTGAAACTGAGAAGCTTCTGTAAGGTGAAGGGCACAGTCAACAAAACAAAATGGAAGTCTACAAAATGGGAAAGTATCTTCACAAACCCCAAATCTGACAGAGTGCTGATCTCCAAAATGTACAAAGAACTCAAAAAACTAGACATCAAAACACCCAAATAATCTAATTAAAAAATAGAGTACAGACCTAAACAGAATTCTCAACAGTGCCAAAAGACACTGAAGGAACTGTTCAATACCCTTAGCCATCAAGGAAACACAAATCAAAACAACTCTGAGATACCATTTTACACCTGTCATAATTGCTAAGATCAAAAACACTGTTGACAGCTTATGATAGAGAGGATGTGGAGTAATGAGAAGACTTCTACACTGTTGGTGGGAGTGCTAACTTGTACAGCAGCTTTGGAAATCAGTATGGTGGTTTCTCAGACAATTGGGAATCAATCTACCTCAAGACCCAACAATACCACTCTTAGGCATGGACCCAAAGGATGCACACTCCTACCAGAAGGACACTGACTTAACTATGTTCATGGAAGCATTATTTGTAAAAGTCAGAACCTGGAAACAAACTAGATGCCCCTCAACCAAAGAATAGATAAAGAAAATGTGGTACATTTATAAAATGGAGTATTACTCAGTAGCAAAAAACAATGACATCTTGAAATTTGCAGGCAAAAGGATGAAACTAGGAAAAAACAATCCTGAGTGAAATAACTTAGACCCAGAAAGACAAACATAGTATGTGCTCACTCATAAATGGATATTACACATAAAGCAAAGGATAACCAGACTTCAGACAACCCCAGAGAAGCCAGGAAACAAGGACCCTAAGAGAGACATACATGGATACCCCTTGGAAAGGGGAAATAGACAAGATCTCCTGAGTAAATTGGAAGCATGGTGGGGAGAGGTTAGGATGGGAGTGGAGAAGAGAATATGAGGGATAGGGAAAGTTGAGTTGAAGGAAGTTCAGAGAGGGAGAGCAAGGAAAAAGACAGCTTGATAGAGAAAGCCATTATGGGGTTAGTGAGAAACCTAGCGCTAGGGAAATTCCCAGGAGCCCACAAGTATGACCCCAACTAAGAATCTAAGCAATTGTGGAGGGTGCCTTAACTGCCCTTCCCCTGTAATCAGATTGATGACTACTTAACTGTCATCATAGAACCTTTATCTAGCAACAGATGGAAGCAGATGCAGAGATCCACAGCTAAGCACTAGGCCGAACTCCTTGAGTCCAGTTGTAAAGAGGGACAAGCAATTAAATAAGCTCAAGACCATGATGGTAAACCCACACACAACTGACCCGAGCTAGTGGAGGCTCACTGAGCCTGGATTGACAGCTGGGGAACTTGCATAGGACAAAACTAGGCCCTCTAAATGTGGGTGACACAGTTGTGTGGCTTGGGCAGTGGGACCACTGGCAGAGGAACCAGTATTTATCCCTTTTGCAGGAACTATTTTTTGGAGCACATTCCCTATGGAGAAATAGATTGGTCCCGCCTCAAGTGATGTTACAGACCGTGTTGATTCCGCACTGGGAGCCCTCACCCACTCTGGCTCACAGTTAAATCAGAGCTAGAGGCTTCATCGAGGGAAAAGCATGATAACACCAGCATGGGATGCATCTCACTACATCCACAGTCAGGAAGCCAGACCAGGCTATGAAACTTCAAGGCCTGGCCACTCTTGTCTTCCCTACTCAGTCTGCTTCCTAGCAGGGTCTAGTCTATCAAACAGCTGCATCTACTGAAAAACTAAGTAAACAAACACATGAAGCTGTGTGGAAATATTATACCATTCATGTAGTGATAGAAGCGGTGGGCTATGTTCCTGGCACCCGGCCGCCCGCACGGCTAGCTTTATACCCGAAATAATTACACGGAAACTGTATTCTTTTAAACATTGCCTTGCCCATTAGTTCCAGCCTCTTATTGGCTAGCTCTTACATATTGATCTAACCCATTTCTAATAATCTGTGTAGCCCATGAGGTGGCTTACCAGGGAAGATCTTAACCTGCAGCTGTGTCGGGTGGGAGAATCATGGCGACTGCCTGACTCGGCTTCTTTCTCCCAGCATTCTGTTCTGTTTACTCCAGCCACCTAAGGGTTGGCCTATCAAATGGGCCTAGGCAGTTTCTTTATTAATTAACCAATGAAAGCAACAGATTAGAAAGAAATCACTCCCACATCACATTCAAACCAATATACCAACTCAAGTAGAGGGCCAGTTAATGATAGTGACTGGCTTGGCCTTTAGTAGTCCTGAGAGTAACACCCCAACTCACACACACCTACCTCCTGTCTGCTTCTATTTTAGGATTTCCCTGTCAGAATCTGAGAAAAAAAAAAAAAAAAGCCAACTTTTAAAATTGAACTACAAGGCTGAGGATGTGGCTCAGTTGGTACAAGGCCCTGGATTCCAAGTGTTGCATTAGGCCTGGCTTGTTGCTTCATTCCTGTAGGTCCAGCACTTGGGAAGTGGAGACAGGAAGATCAGAAGTTGCAGAATAGTAGGCTACATCAGAACTTAACTAGAAAAACAAAAATGCTCTGAACACTAAAATCGACTTTCAAAATGTTTTCTGTAGCAGGTAGAAAACAAACACGTCGTCTTTCTTTCTGACTGACAAACCCAGATTTTCAACTGTCAGAAATCACACTGTCCAGAGTTGGTGAAATCACTTAGCAGTTATGAGTACATATTGTCCTTCCAGAGGACCCAAGTTCAGTTCCCAGCATCCACAAAAGCTACTGACAACTGCTTGTAACACCAGTTCCAGGAGATCCACACCATCTTCTGGCCTCAGCAGGTACCCCCACACAGGCAGCAAACACTCACACAGACATAAATATTTATATGCATGCATTAAAAAAGTTTTTAATTTAAAAAATAACAAAGAAATTACACTGTCTACAAAGACTTAACCACTAGAAGATAACAGGAAGAAACTGAAGATATTAATATTTTCCCCAAGGACTATAATCCTGGTGTACTGTTTGGTTTTTGTTGTTGTTTATTTGTCTAGGTTCTATGAAACCGGGTCTCACTGTGTGGCTCTGAGATAGGTCTGTCTCTGCCTCCATTGGGATTGAAGAAATTCCTCCCACTCACAGTACATTTGGAGAAATAGCTTAGGGCTAGCTATACAACAGAAATAAAATTATGCACAGTCGGGGGGGGGGGGGATCACCTATAATCCCAGGACTGTGGAGGATCTCAGTTCCAGGCTAGCTTGGTCTACATAGCTAGTTGTGGGTCAGCCAGCGCTAAACAGTGAAATCCTGTATGAAATGAAAAAAAAAAAAAAAAAAAGAATTACATAATCCCTTACTCCCTGGGCTTTTTTCAGAGCTACCATGGCTGGAAAGGTTTCCCCAAATCTCACATTCTGCGTCGGAAATGATCAGTACAAATAAATTAAATTTTGGAGTAACTTTAAATTTCTCTCCTTTCTCCAAGTTGGGGGATTTTTTGTCTACACAGAGCCAAGTCACTGCTACATAAATCCAGCTTTATTCGCACAAAACAAACCCAGGACGAGGGGTGGAGGTACAAGCCTACGGTAAAGCCTTCGCCTAGAGTGAGACCAGAGATCGCTTGCACCTAAAAAGAAAAGGTTTAAGGAGAAAAAAAAAAAAAAAAAAAACCGGGTGACCACAGTGTAAAACTAAAGCAGGGAACAAGGAAACGAAAAAGTGCAAAACAGCGCGCACCACCCACGTGCCCTCGCCGCAGAGTCTGCACTCGGCGTCACCGACCCGCCAGAGCTGCAGCGTCTGCGGAGGCGCAGGTTCGCGGCGCAGCCTCATCACGGGAGCACTGCGGACCAGGAATGCTGCAGGGAAGGGACAGACCTGGACTGGACGCCACACTCACGACTGCCGGTGCCTGCTTTCCACCATCCAAGCGTCCTGGGGACGAGGGCGCCGCTGCCACACTGGGCTGCACAGTGCCAGACTCGGCTGCACAGCGCCAGGGAAACCGTGCAAAGCCGCAGCAGTGTCACAACCCCGCCGCCCACCACTCCAGGAGCCCGGGCACACTCACCATGTCCTGCTTCGGATGCATCCAGGTGTTCCCCCACCTAAGCAGCCGGCAACCAGGACGGAAGCCAGGAACAACTCTCCTCCCTTCGGCTACCCGGAACTCAAATATGGCGGCAAGGGTGCCACCGTCCACTATCCGTGCCCTTCATTGGTTAGCTCAGGGGAGTAACCGTATCGCTGATTGGTGAATAATCCGAGCCCAACTCCTTAGAACTGAGTTAGCACATCCAGCCGCATTTACCAGCCCAGTGGCTCTTTAAGTGCAGATTGCAATTTACAGCCCCGTCTCTGGAATAAACCTGGTTCAAACTAGAGGGTTCCACATTTAAAAACACGTCCCAGGCCGGGCGTGGTGGTGCACACTTTTAAAGTCAGCATTCGGTCAGCAGAGGAGTCTCCAAGTCCTCCGCTACCTTTGTCTACAGAGTGAGATCCAAGCCAGCCAGAGCTGTCTAGCAAGCCTGCTCTCCTCCGCACACACGCTCACTCATCCAGCGCTTTTGAAAGACTTAATCGTTTTTATTTTTCCTTATGTTTCTGAGTGGATGGATCCGTGTGTGCGCGTGTGAGTCTTCACGGAGACCAGAAGAGGGCGTCAGATGCCATCTCGCTTTTCCTTTGAGGCAGGGTTTTTTCCACTCATCACTTTGGCTCCGGCTCAGATTTCCCTGGCTAAACTGGAAGGAAGCCCGCTAGCCACAGCGATCCTCTTATGTGAGGCGCCCTCATAGATGGGATCTCAGGCATGTATATGGGACCTGTAACTTGAGTGCTGGGATACGAACTCAGTGCAACTCTCCAACCCCATCCTCTTGTGTTCAGTGGGGCCTTCCTGTTTTTCCACATACAAATAGTGTCACAACAGCCTTCTGGAATAAATTCCATCTTAAATCGTTTGCTCCTCAATTAGAGTAAGCCAGAAAAAGACATGACATAGCAAACTAACACTGATTGTTTTAAATTCCTCTACGCAATAACGTTGATCGTGTTCACTGATGGCATTTTAGAAATCCCTCCTCCTGATATTATCTTTCTCTTCCTTAGTAAACTAATAAAGAAATTTTATCTTCATACTGTCTTCTATTTAGAGTCATCGTATAGGGGCAAACATGTAATATCTGTTGACTTCCTCCAGTTCCATCATTTTTTTTTTGCAAACAACATTCTTTGTGGATGAATAATTCTTCACTGTCCATAATTACCACATTATTTTTTAAAATATTTATTTATTTATTATGTATATAATATTCTGTCTGTGTGCATGCCTGCAGGCCAGAAGAGGGCACCAGACCTCATTACAGATGCTTGTGAGCCACCATGTGGTTTCTGGGAATTGAACTCAGGACCTTTGGAAGAGCAGGCAATGCTCTTAACCGCTGAGCCATCTCTCCAGCCCCCTACCACATTGTTTTATCCGTTTATTCATCTATTGACCTAGGCTGGTTCCACTACTTGGCTGTTGTACTTGATGCTGCAATAAGCATGTCTGTGCAGGAGTCTCGGTTAGGTGGTAACATTTATTCTGTTGTGTGTATATATATATAGGAGGCTAGAGCTGGATAATGAAATAATTTGGTTTTTAGTTTGGAGTTGGATGTTAAATGCCCCCCACAAAGTTCATGTGTTAAAGGGCATGATCCATAAGTACTGTTTGGAGGTGATGGATGTGCGCGCGCTTGGAGCAAGTATTGGAACTCTAGCCCTCTCCTGAGGACCCAAGCATTAGCCTTTATCGCTCTACCTCCCTGCCACTGTGAGCTGAACAACTTGGCTTTCTCTTTGGGTTTCCCACCATGCCCCTCTGCTTTACCTAAGGCCTAAGCCAATGGGACCAGCTGACGAGGGCCTAAAACCATGAGCCAAAATAAGCTCCTCCTTTTTCCAAACTGTTTGTCCCGGGTGTTTTGTTTAAGCAACCGATTTCTGACTTAAATACTATTTATCTGAAGGTATGTAGCACATTTATATCGAGATATAAAGCCCAGGTTCACTTTAAATATATGCTCCTTATGCCTCAGTCTCCCAAATGGGGATATAACTCATATGTGCCATGCCTAGCTTCTTTCTTTCTTAGCAGGTTTATTTTAAGGACTTGGTGTATGTGGTTATTTGACAGACAAGTTCAAACTCTGTAAAGCCTCTGGCTCCAGGCACAAACTCAGACAGATGCTGAGTCTATAGGCACAGAGCAGGATTTTGTCTTTACTGAGAGAGTCATTTTTTGCTCTATAGCCTTTTAACTGAAGAGTGTGACCCATTCACATTAACCAAGGCCATCATCTCTTTTTGTAGTACCAGGAAAAGAATCCAGGGCCTCTTGCATTTCAGGCATGGCCTCTACCACAGAGGGCCACAAAGCACATGACACACACATATAGATGCATCTGCTTAAATCATTGGGTGCTTTAATCCATCTCAATTGACAAAACAATCTGCCACTATCACAACCTCTCAATGGGAGAGGTAACGAGTCAACACTATCAGAAAATGGGGGACAAAAGGCCACTTCTTATATAACACAACACATTGGTTTCTTGGGGGGGCAGTGGGGGGAGTTTGAGAGGAGGTTTCTCTGTAGCTTTTTGGAGCCTGTCCTTGAACTTGCTCTGTAAACCAGGTTGGCCTCGAACTCACAAAAATCTGCTTATGTCTTCTTCCTGCATGTTGGGATTAAAGTTGTGCTACCACTGCCCGGCAACACAACACATCTTAAGGGCCTTCCATTCTCTCCATGGCCTGGAATGGTTGGTGGTTTTCCAACTAAGTTTTGTCATCTGAGGGATAGTGGGGAGGAGCTTAGAAAGATGCAAGGTCTTATCCATCTGGAAGTGTGGAGAGGCAATGTTCCTCTGTCACTCTTTGGATCTATCAGGTTTTTACTCCAGTATCTGACTCCTGAGTTTTAATTAATAATAGAACAATATAAGTAATCACTTGGGGGAGGGTGAGTTAAGAGAAGAGTGAGAGAATGGGAGAGGAAAAGAAGAAAAAAAGGAAGGATAAAAAGAACCAGTGAGTCACATGCATTCTTGGTCCTCTCATTATTCATCCTCTCATTAAAAAGAAAAAATATTTTGTTCTTCTATGTTCCAGAACAGTTCACTAGGTCCTTTGCAACCCAAATTAGGAAATTGGTGCTCAGGTGGGTTTTTGTTTGCTTGCTTGTTTTGGTATCTTTGTTTTGAGACAAGTTTTCATTATGTAGCTCTGTCTCTCCAGGACCTCACTATGTAGACTAGGTTGGGTTTCAATGCAGGGAGATCCACATTCCTCTGCCTCCTGAGTGTTGGGATTAAAGGAGTGCACCACTACACTGGGCTTGCCTTTGCTGCTGTTGTTGTTTAATGAAGTTTTACTTTATATGTAGTCCAGGCTGGTCTTGAAACTGTGACCATGCTCATGGCTACAAAAGTCTTCGTTCGTACTTTTAAATATTTAAGGGCCATTTAAAATATGTTACCTGTGCCATCATGTTTACTTACTTCACTGTGTGGCTTAAGCAAGTGACTGCACCTCTGTTTCCTCTCCCCCTCTGCTGAGTTTCACTATCTGCTGTGGCTGTGGTTTGGGGATCCTCTCTTACATCTGGCTCTTCTCTGGCAGGGGATCTGCCCCAGTGAGGGAAGAGGAGGCTCTAGGGACCTTGTACCCTCAAGATGCGGAGGCCTTCAAGGTCTGCTAAGACCAGAAATTGAACTAGGAGACATTAGAAAGAGGGAAAGAAACAGGAGCTACCTGCTCAGTTTCCTGTCGTCCCAAGTGGGACTGGGAACCCTGAAGGAGGACACTAGAGCAACAACTGAGACAGAGATTCTTCCTGCAGTGAACAGAATGCTGGGAGGGCCAGGTGCAATGTCAGCACTCAATGGTCTCAAGAGAAAGAATCATGAGCTGGAGGTCGGCTGTGGTTACACAGTGAGACCCTGTCTAAACAAAACAAAACAAAAACAAGATGTTCAGGTTGTAGGCATCTCTCCAACAATCCTTTCTGTTTGCTGCACGAGTGTGTATGCATGTGTGTGTCGTGTGTCTGTGGGAACACGTATGTGTGAACATACACATGTGTGTATGTATGTGGGGTATGATCACATCTGAGAACGTATACATGTATGTGAATGTGTGCAGGTTGTGGAAGCCTGGATTTGATGTCAGGTGTCTTCCTCCATTGCCCTCCACCTTGTACAGTGGAGTAGGATCTCAAGTGAACCCTGAGTTCACAGATTTGGCTAAACTTGCTAGCTATCTTGCTGTGGAGATCCTGTCTCTGTCTTAGACTGGGATTACAGAAGAAGGGGAAGCAGAGGAAGAGGCTGCCATTCCAGCTTGGTATTTATGTAGGTGTTAGGAATCCAGACTTTATTTCTAAATTTGTATAGCAAGAGCTTTACACGCTGAGCCAATTCCCAACCCCTTGTTAAAAGGGGTGTGGCTTCAGACATATGTAGTCTTCAGACGCGGGTCTTGAGAATAGCTTTGTGATTAAGAGTTTCCCTCTCACACTTCCATTTCTTCATCTCTAAGGTGCGAATAATACTCTGCACTTAAAAGTTATGGGAATGATGCCATGGAGTCGTGCTCCTTGCATACCAAGGAGCTCAGCAAAGAACACTTCCTACTCTGCCACACAGTAGTCCTAGAAACTCAGCATGTTTATTAGTTCATTTTTTATTGCTGTAAAAAAAATCATGACCAATGCAAGTTAGGATAGGAACGGTTTTCTTGGTTTACAGTTAGAGAGGGCCATATGTCCACTACAGCAGGGAAATGCGACAGCAGGCACCAGATATGGAGGGATATTGCTGGGTCCTAACATCTTCCCCGGGGGAGGGGGGGAAAAGCTGCGACGTCAACGGACACAGGTGCTGAGAGTCATATAGAAGGTTTACAGCAGACTCATTTTTAACAGCTTGGAAAAACTTACACACCCTCCCAGCACCCAGGGGTTCTGATCCATTGACCGGTGGCATTTCATGCTGGTCTCTCATTGGCTAGGCACAATCAGAACCTCTGACGGCGCCTGTTGCTAGGCACTCAGGAAACACCACTTGGTTCCTCCTTATTGGTTAGGCACAGATAGGACCTTTGACAGCTCCAGGAAGACTCCTGTTTGGCTCCTTTTGGCCTGGTAGGCCTTAACTTCCTACAGAGGCTAGAGTAGAAACTGAGAGTTAACATCTTGAAACCCGTGTACGAAGCCTAGAGAGCAAATACAAAATGGCTTTTAAACTCTCAAAGCCTGCTTCCTGTGATATACGTCCTCCAAC